CTGGCAGCCTCTCAGCATTTTTGCTTCTGCACTGGATGGAGTGAAATCCTGGGAGTTTTGCCCCAATTTTTAGGGTTCTGCCCCTGACCTCTAGACTCCGAATCATGAGAACGTGCTGCATAGAGGCACTGAAGTTGGGCAGGAGGAGTTTGCTTCATGGAGCAGTTTCGGGAATCCCAGTGGTTGGCTCTCTGTGAATACCTTTGAAAATCTGGCCTTGAGGCACCTGCTTTTTTCCATTGACTTAAAGCATCTCTGTGTGAGGCTGTTCCCTGCTGCTACCCACCAGCTGCTGCTCTCCACAGCTGTTTGGGAAGATGAAATGAGCCCCCGTTTTTAGAGGTCATGCAAAAGAGTGCTGATATTTTCCTGCACAGGAAGCTGCCTTGCTCTAGAAACACTGAATTTCCAGTGATGGGAGAGCGCGGCAAGTATGATGCTCGTGGCTCCCCAGCATGGCGACGCTTGGGTGCCAGCGGCGGTGGTGGCCGAGATGGCTGATCAAAGGTACGTCTGGTGGGGCTGGTTGCCCCTCAGCCAGGAGCCAGCACCCTGCAGAGGGCAACGCCAGCAGCAGAGCCGGTTTGTCTGTAACCACTGGCATTGACAAAATTGACTTTTTGTAGTTTGAGAGCAGTAGGACAGATTTCATCTCTGGTGGGTCTCCTGACACTTTGATACATGGCAGTGCTATCCCTGAATGGAGCTAAATACTCCAGGGCTACTTTCTGGCTGGGTGAAGGGATGTATAAAATGAGAACATATGAGAGAGTATTAACGGAAAGGCACACTTTGATTTACTGATAGTGGCTCCCAGCTTTCTTGGTGGATTGATATGCTGTCTGCTGGATCTGGAACAACTTTTTCACTCCTGTACACAAAATGAAGGGGCTCCCGTGGACTCTTAAAAGTGACTCTTACAAGTTAGCATCTCACCGCAGGCGTTCTCAGAGTCCCATTTAAGCTGGAAGTTACGTTCGGACCGTGCTGGCTGTGTTCCTGTAGCAGCTGCAGATGTATCCCACTCAGCGTCCTCTTTTCTTTCCCAAATGGCAGTTTTAGAAAAGTTTGATGGAAGGAAGGATTGCATGATGTCCTGGGATTAGTTGGTCTCTCCTACCCACAGAGCATAAATTGTTGATTTAGGGATTTTGGTTGCTTGTATTGAAATATCATAAAGGAGCCCAGCCTTTCTTGATTTTAAAGAAGTGCTGAGCCACCTGTCCTCAAAAAACACTAGACTGGACATGTACAAATAACTCCTGAACACAGAGACAGTTTTGAGATTTTTCTTACTGATGGTTTATGGCCCAATATAAGGGCAAATGTTAAAAGTGTGAGCTGTGACACTGATGTATGTACAAGGCAGAAAACTTGCCCAGCGGACTGCAGAACAGATTATATGAAAGATGCAGCAAAATTGCCAGCAGAGGGTGGGAGAGAAGGGGTGGAAGGGGTGCACGGGGGTGAACAGCGAGGGTAGGCTCTGCCAGCAAAGTCGGAGCAGGGCAGTTTCCCATGCTGTGGCTTACAGTAGCTGCTTTCTCCGTGCTCTCTGTGGTCATTGCCCACCGCCTGGGGCAGTGGGCTGGGAAGGGGGGAACTGAGAACAGTTGAGGCAGCAGTACACAACAGGGCATTGGAGACGCCCAGAAGTGGTGCTGACGGCAGAATTAGAGTAGTTGCAGAGCCTTAACAGCGACGACGACCAGGTTGCGGTGCTTGTGAAAACCACCGTGTGGGTGTCTTCTTGGTCCCAAAAGCTTTAGAAATTGAAAATCTAGGGACTGCCTAGGACGTAAACCCGGGCTGAAACAGGGCTGGCATTGCCTGCGCGCTTTGACGTACGTCTGGCGGCTTTGTTCTGTAAACAGGGCAGGAGAGGGAGCAGGAGGTAGAAACCCCATGGTTATCGTGTGTGAAAACTGCTAGTTCGTTGCCTTAATGTACTGGTGTGCTTGAGAGAAAGCTCTGCGTTTGTGACTTTTCTGTTTAATTGTCTGTTTCAGACCAGGAGCAGCATTGTAAAGATGATCTGCTGCGGGGTAGAACAGGAGCGCTAGCTCCCCGCTTTCCTTCAAAACGATAATTTGCATCTGTAAAACAGTTCTGCTTTATCCTGCCTTCCTTCACAAATGGGTTCAGTCGTTTCCCTAGAGCAGGCAGTATAAAGGTGGATGAGGGTGTTAGAGGGAGGAGATGAAGGGAGACAGGAGACTGGGAAGAAAACAGGCCCTCTTGGACTAAACATGAAATGGACAGGGCAGGGCTGGGTGGGAAGAGGGCAGGGGAAGGTGACACTTGGCTTGTGAAGTTGAGTTTACAGCACACTTAAGCACCCAACAGTAACAGTGAGAATCCTATCCAATGACGCTATTAAATACACAAGAATTGAAAGCATGGAAATTACCCAGCTGTAAGAGGCTCATGATGAAGCCAGTGCCTGGAATAATTAGCCCTCCCACCTGGTTAGACACATGGACATTGTCTTCCCTGCCCTCTCCATCCCCTTCACGCCAAATAAAATTGCTTCCCATCGCCGCTTCTGTTGGGGTCCATATCTCCTAGCTTGGGGGAGCTTGAGCCTGTTTTTATTCTCTGCCTGCTTGCGGTGGCCCTGATACACCCCCGAAGAGCTGGAGTACTACTCCAGTTGTAATTGGCAGGATCAAAGCCGCCTGGGGTGCATTAGCGCTGCTGCTGGAGGAGAGGCAGCGGGTAGAAAATAAACAGGTTCAGAAGCTCTGGGGACATTTGGCTGTGTTACAGGCAGTGGGAAAGATTTTGTTGCGGTAAGCTGTGCACTCAGGTTAGGGTGGGGGCACTTTCTTTTGCAAATGATGCTCTAGCTTCAGACGTATACCACAAATGCATTTTTAAGGGCTTTTGTCTATTTGTGTCTTAGAATTGTTTTGATGCTAACACACGACTGTTTTACAAGTATGGCAAGCCTAATCCGTTAATAGGTTTATATAGAACAGCTGTCAGAGTGTATCTATAATGAACCATGGACGGGGGGGAGGATAAGTCCAACTGCTGATCTGCAGCAAAAATCTTGAAGTGTCTTCTCCTTGACACTCCTGTTACTGAGGTCAGGCCATAATTTATCTGAAGATGGTGACAACTGAGCAATATCACAGTGGCAACATGTGAGAGATTGAGACCTCTGTGCTGATTTCTGCTTGCACTGCCTTTGTCTGGCTGATGAAGATTTGCTGTTTGGTCTAGCCACGATCTCTATGCCCCCCCATTAAAAAAAGAAAAACAGGTAGAAAAAAAAAATAAAGTGGGCAAAAGTCCCCTCCGTTCTGTTACGCTAACTGCTAAAGAAGGAACAGGTTTGGGAGTTAACCGAAATAGCTGCATTGACTTCACGTCGGCGGAGAAACTGGTGGGGAGTCATTGGGTAAGCTGTGGCGAGCGTCCCACCGGCACAGCACTGCTCTGGGCTCTGCACAGCTCCTTGTTCACTGTCAGCCAGAGCTGCTCCTGCTCTGTGAGGATGCACGTTTTGGGTGCGCAGGGAAGGAAGCAAAGCCTGTATGAATCCTGCAAGACAGCAGATCTTGATGTGGTGTGCTACGTTGCTCCAAGTAGTGCATTTTCCCCCCTTTGTGTGGCTCCTCTCTGTAAAAATAGAAGGCAATATACTGATGTCAGGTGAGTGGAAATTAATCTTTGTAAAGTTCAGTTTAGGTTTTTGGATAGAAACATGCTAAGTGTTTTACCTTTAAGAGCTGACGCTGTGATTGATGTGTAGCAACATACAAAGGGAGAGCTTGTGTAGGCCTAGACAAACACTTGTTCTATATCAGAGCGTTCTGCAGGGAGGCTTGTTGGTTGCCGCAAAAGAACTATTTTTAAAGAGCAGATGCTGCAACAGTGTGTCGTTAACCCTTCCCTGGGGTCAGCTGAAATTATATGTCCTTTGAGAAGATAAAATCATCGGAACAGAGATCATTTTCGCTGCATCTACATGCAAACAGAAAAATTATCAGCTCTGAAAACTTTTGGATACGCAGCATCGGACCTACCAGGATTTGTGTCCGCACATACCCTAGAAAGCAAATACTCTTCCTCCTAAAACTAATGCTCATACCGTGTATTGATCCTTCTTGTGCACCCTTCCACACTAATCTTTTCTTCACTTTATTTTTTAGAGTGCCCTATTGGTAATCTTGAAAAAGGAAGCGCTCTCTTTCTAAGAATCACTGGGCCTGCAGTTCTGCTTTTCTGATTGGAATCCTCTCATTAAATTTGCCAGATCATTGTTTTAAGTTTCCCCCATAGATCAGATCTTGCTACACTTAATTTTACTTACAGTCTAATTTCTTATACCTCCTGTGTGGTGAGCACAGCAGCATAGAAAGCAGCAATAGTCACAGCCCTGCAGGAGTTCAGTTTTCCTTCTCGCCCTCCCTCCTTCTGCTCCCTACACCATGCGCATTACGAACAAGAGAGAAAAGTGAGAGTGCAAGTTTAGATGGGCTGTACACATATACATTTTCCCTTGTGCTGATTCATGCTATTGCTAAAGCTGGCCTCCAAAGCAAAACTTAAGACAGGAGAGAAATGAACTAGTCAGCAAAAAACATTGTTGTCATATGCATGTGTCATTTGACACTTCTGCACACATTAGTTGCTTCTTCAATATGCTGATCCTTTAGGATCTGCAGTCTGAATGTTTGTCGATGAAACATTAGATCAGTATACTCCCAATGTGCAGCCAGGCAGATGTTTAGAAGGCAGTCCTCCCTCCCTTCCTCCCTCTTCCGTAAAGAAGTGGTCTTTCTCAATATGCAGTTGTTTGACACTAACAGTTATAAATCAATCTGAAGTTAAAACCGTATCTGTAACAGGTTAGGGAAAAACATTTAATGAGACCTGCAGTAGCTGTGGCAGAAATGCAGGTTCAAGATGAGGAACCAGACACTGCAAAGCTAAGTCTTCACCAAAAGCAAGTAGCAGTGGTAAATTCACTCATGTCTCTTATTCTGCAGGTTGTAAAGCCCTGAAGGAGTTGCTAAGAGCGTTAGTGGACCTTCAAGATGAGCTTCTTTATCAATACCCAGGCACAAGGCATCTGGTAGATGGAAAGCAATCAAAAATTGAGAGGTGAATGCAAAATAAGACAAGGCCTTTCTGAGTCCTTTGGTCTCCTGCTCTTTTAAACAGGAAAATATGCAGGCTTCCTGACCATACTCATTCTCTGCTGTTCTCTCAGCTGCTGCTGCGTCTGGGTGACAAACACTGGACAAATAGCCGTTTGAATCCCTCCTGCCTGTATGGAAAGTCCATTTTGTAACTTAGTTCTGAGAGTGAAGGAGAGGCTAAGCTATGGGACTTTCCACAAAAATACTACCATGGGGTGGAAGGAGCATGAGTTTTAGTGGAGGAGCAGTTAAGAGTTATACGTGTTGCCTCAGAGAGGCGTAAGGTGTTTAGACTGTATATTTTTGTTGTAGTGATGATGAAATCCTCAGCAGTAGCGATGAAGAGAAAGAGGATGAGGCTCAGAAGAGGAGGAGGAGCCTCTCCAAACGAAAGCTAAAGATGGAAGACTACCCAGAATTCCTGGCCAAGCGGTTTGCTGACTTCAGAACGTATCGGAACAAAGTCTTGCAGAAGTGGCATGACAAGACAAAGTTGGCATCGGGCAAAATGGGAAAGGCAAGTCTTTGTTCATGTGTGCTAACATACTTACCATTTAGCAGAGCTTTGTGGAACAGCAGTTTTCTATCATGCATGTTCCAAGTTAAGCCCAGAATTACAGCAGTAAGAATTAAATACACGTGTACGCACTTTTTCCAGCCTTAAAGGAGTTTGGAAAGAAGCAGCCCTCAAATTTCAAAGGCATAAGCTGCTCTCTTTTGTTTTGAAGGGCAAGAAAAAATTTTCTTAATGGCAAAGGATGTTTCAAGGGTTTTTTTCCACCCTTTTGGATAGCGCCAGTATTCTCCCAGCTAGCCGTCTCAGCACAGCCAGCCTGCAGCAGGAGGAAAACACTTGGAAAACGTCACCGTTGCTGACCAACGAGCTGCTTGTATTTTATAACAGAACTAGAGACTTTTGTGGTCCTCCTCCTCCCCGAAGTGTACACTTTAATTCAATGGGTAATCATTTCAGCCTAAGATCCAGGGTCTCCTAACATGTGTGAGTTAAGATTAATCATTGAGAAGTTCATCTGAACCAGAACAGCAAAGGCACTTTATTAAGCCAGGCCTCAAGTTGCCTCAGGTTGGGAGGGGAGGGAGAGGGCAAAACAAATAAAAAATCCCTGCAACAAACCCTAATCCCCCTCCTTTTGGAATGCTGTCTGCTTATCCACTGACATGGAAAGATAGAGGAACATTGCTGCCTTGAGGAAAAGCTTTCTGCATTATCTGACACTAGTTAATGTTGTTGCAGGGTTTCGGTGCCTTTGAGCGTTCAATCTTGACTCAGATTGATCATATTATGATGGACAAAGAGAGATTACTACGGCGGACGCAGACCAAGCGATCAGTATATAGAGTGCTTGGAAAGCAGGAACAGGAATCTCATCCGGTCCCTGAATCTTTACCTGAAAATTCGGTAAGGGTATTTTGTTTTTGTAACTCATCCTGTAGAAGCAGTGGAACTCTGCAAATCAAATAGTTTGAGCCTTTAGCAGGTGATATTCTTGTTTATAAGAGATATATGAAGGAGATACGTGAGTGTTGATTCTTACCATGTAATGGATAAGATGTTGATACTTCAATTCTGTGGTGTGGGGTTGGTGGGTTTTTTTTTTTTTTTTGGTGTTTGCAGTATTGTCTGTGCCAATTTGATAGGCACAGACAAGGCTTGGTGCAGGATTGTGCCTATAGGCTATAGGCACTGGTGTTCTCACTAAGTCTGCTTTTTGAGGAAGAGCTGCAAAACTTTATCTTTACTCTGGAGTTGAGAGTCCTTGGCCCAGAAAGTCACTTCTGAGATCATACTGCATGTAACCTGTAGCATATGTTAGTGGTAAGTCTGCTGTTAATTTAGTATTTAAGAATGAATAAACACTCCGTTCTGAGGGATCATGTAGAATTACTTGCAAGATATATTTTTGCCACTACATTAAAAAAAAAAAAGTACTATTTTGCCAAAAAGACTTTGTACAGTTCCATTTCCTAGTAAAGGAATTGTAAATTTATGTTGGCGTTGGCAGCTTTTCTGCCTTGCCTTTAAATGTATTCCTGGTCTTTAAAAGCTTGTTATGATGGTGTTTATAAACTGCTGATATCATCCGAGTTGGGGACAGAAACATGTACATACGGGCGTTCAGTGTTTTCTTTGTGTTCCTAGGAAGTCCTCCCTCAGACAGATTCCAACAGGCACCTGAAGGACATAGATGAGGAGATATTTGATGATGACGACTTTTATCACCAGGTAGGTGCTGGTAGATCTGCATTGGAATTATGGCTCCAGTTTACTTTCGATACTTACAGAGTTAACGTGGTCAGGTTCTAAATCTCTGAATTTCTCTGACCAATGAAACTCAGTTATTTGACTTCACGTCTTAAATCTCTGTAGGTACCTCAAAGGGTTTAATCCCCAACTTTTCATATGGGGCTATAAGAGCTCACATTTGCATTGTGGATGTAGGACTGCTGAGTGAGTTCGGGCTGCAGGGTAAGGTTTTTGTTGGTGAGCGTTGCTACACAAGAGGAAAATTACTGAATTCTCTAAAGGTGACTGTTTCTCTGTGGGAGCATGAAACAACAATTTTAGTAGATCCTCAGAAGCACCTAAGTTACTCCTCATCTCAGCCCAAATCATCTCATCTATCAACAGATTGAGAAAGCTGTGGGGCTTCTGTAGCACTTTTCTTGGAGTTGTGCCAGCTTGAATTTGGTCTAGTTTTTCCTTTTTATTTGCAAAATTCTTAGAAACAAGGAATCTCTCCCCAGTGCATTGAGGCTGCAGCTAGGGAATCCTTGTGTTTGTGATTTAGTTAATAAATGACAGTGCCAGTTTCATAAAATGGTGAAATTGCAGTATGTTGAGGAGTGCGGTTTGCTGTAAGTCCTACCCCCAAGGCACAAAAAAACTACTTCTGCTCTGACAGTACAGAGAGAGTTTTAACATCAGGACTAAACAAATACAATGATATCTTTAGAAAGCTGGACATTTCTAATTTGAATAGTTATTGGAGTAGATAGTAAAGTGTTAGGCTAGTGGAAGAGAGCTGTCGCCATGTAACTGTGATCTGATAACTGATTTATCCGAAAACATTTGAACGCTTTCAAATTTTGGGATTTCATGTACGGAGCTGGAACAAAAGACTTATTAAATTGGTAATTTGATCTATGTTTTGCAGGTAGGAAACACTCACCACAATTTAGTGATGCCTTTTTTTTCCTCTCCAAGAAAGTTTTCAGCACATTTCCAACCCTACTGCTGTTGAAGTCCAAAGGAATTTTTACAGTAGACCTCACCTAGTGCAGAATTAGGACAATGCTAAAAATGCATTGAACATTTAACCTTTGTAAGGAATCTGCTCAAGGCAGCCTGCCTCAGAGCCGGGAATGTTTTCCAAGCTCCATCTCAGGTCTGTGTATTTATTGTAAGAGCATCTCTGCTGGTATTGCTGTGAATTGGGCAGCATTTCTGGGGGAAGTGAGGAGGCTGGGTTCATCCGCATAGGCTTTAAAATGGAGATAAGAGAGTGCCTTTCTTGTTGGCAGCAGTGGTTGAGGAGGTTAAATCTGTTTCAGCAGTGAGATAATACTGAGGTTAAATTTGAGATCTAAGTGGAACATAAGCCCAGCTTTGGGATCTTAGTGGACTCTAAGAACAGAGAACAAATTAAGTCAGTATAATAACATAGTGAAGTGTTCAAGGAGAAATAGCTGTGATTGACAATCCTTGGACCTGTACAGTGAGGTACTGATTGGCCGTGAAATGCTAAATTTTTTTAAAGAAAAATAGCAATAGATGAATGGCCCTTCTTCCCTACTAATAACTTTAACTTCGATAAATTCTGATTTCAGAGTTATGACTAGTCACAGCTTAGCTTTTCCCCTCACTGGTTAATTGGGGTGCTGGGGTTAATCTAAATTAAAACTTAAACTAATAGAGGTCATTGAGGGAAGAGAATCACCTGAGTAAAACAAATGGGTCTGCCAGGCACAACTGTATCTTGGCCATTTCCCAAGAGGGAAGTGGCAGCAAATTGGAGTTGTTTCAGCATTCTGCAGAGGTGAATGATGGGTGACACCGGTTTAATGTACGGCATCTCCGGAAACGTTCCAGATTGCATTACTTGCGGTACCAACTGCTGCCACCCGCGCACAGTGAATAGGAGCACAACCAGCCAACAACATCTGGCAGCACAGCAAGGAATGGGTGCAACTTTCGAAACCCCATAGACTCTAAATATGGTGCTTAGCCTGGTGGAGGCTTTAATCACTTACCACTGCTTGGCAGAGGGCTACGACAGCTTATCCTAGCCTCGTACATCACGCACAGACATCTGCTGAGCCGCGAGGCAGCTACACATTCATTTTCCTTTCTTGCCTTTTTTTTTTTTTTTTTTTTATCCTCCCTCCCTTCTACCCTTCTCCTCTCCTCCCGTCCCCAATATGCTTCTTGGGAGAGATGATCTGTAAAGATTACCGCTTCATTGTGTGCGAGTAATTGTGGGGATGCCAGCCCCTTGACAGACACGGTGCGGCACCTGTTCCGCTGACCTGCTTAATTTCTGCTCTTGAGTGGGATTTGGCAGAGATTGGAGCCGCAGCCAATTCCGTGATAAGGCTAAAGAAAATGGCTGTATGTTTTCTGTCACCTCCCAATTAAATTGGTTTCATAAAGTGCTTTCCTTTATTTGTCAGGGTGGCAAGCTGAAGCTGAACGTTGCATTCAGCAAGGGTAGAGTGCATTACAATAGAGTGCTGACAGTACGGTGAATGTGTTTTCTTTCAGATGGGTCATAACTGTGCAGCTCTTCTGTGTGTGTGCGGTGTGTGTGTATATGTACATACATAAATAAAATGTACAAAGGGAACTGGCTCTTCAAAAGTAACGAGCAGCAACAGCTCTGATTATTGGAGCTGAGGTTGCTCAGAAACTCTGACCTCTGTGTATAACGCTTACTGCAAAGTATACGGGTACATTTCAATAGGTGCTTTTCTCTTTGTATTTAAATTTAGATCCAGACTTTTATTCGTGTCACTTCTCATTTTTCTAAATAGCATTTTATAATATTTAGTTTATTTTGATTGCTGGTTATGATTAATTAAAGGTAAAAATTCTGATAAAGAAGGACATGAAAAAACGACTTCCTGTGTATTTCAGAGGGAAATTGAGCAACAAAATATGATTGTGATCTGATGAAAGCGTACAGGTTTGTGATAAGAGAATAACTAACTATACTGTTTTGTTATAGTGTATCTCCAAAACTCTTTAAAGATTCTATTTTTTTCAGGTCTTGATATTTGATGGAATTCACCATGTAGCGCTGGTGGAATTTTAAGGAGATTCAGAATTTAACTCTGCTCTGTCTGTTCATCCCACTTTGCCTTTTCTCATATTCCTCTGTTGTTTTATAAGCAGTTATAATTTTTATTGTGATGGCCCATGTTGAATAATAATGTTATGCTGAGCTGAATAATGCAAGTGAAACAGATTTTTATTTAGGTTCCACTGGATAAGAATAGTTTAACTGTTTCAAAAGGATCCTCATTACTGACAGCAGTGAGATGCTAGACTACATTTCCTTTTCTTCTGAACTCTGGTTCATACGTGGTTTTAAGGGAAGAGAAAGGCTTTTTATTTTTAGAAGTCGCATTTACGTGAATTCATTACAGCCGTTATTGCAGCATTAAGACTTAAAATTCCAGCCTGCTACCAGAGAGCTGCTGGTCTGACATGCTACACTGGAGATTTTATTATTAGGTTGAAATACTCCTCTAGTAAAGGAGAGAGTTGAAATTGGTTTATTTCCAACAAGAATTAGGTTAGTGTTCATATGCTAAGCGATCCATTGGTAGCAACTCTTCCCAGAACAAATGTTCATCATTGGTGGCAGCAGGTATGCCTAAGGAGAATTAAGAATATACATAATCTTTTTTTTTTCCCTGCGCTCTTGCTCCCTCCTCCCCCTGGTTTCAGTTGTTTTGTATGTCACCGCTTTTTATAGGAACTTGCAGTCATTGATCTTGTTTGCGATCACCACAACTTCCAGAAACAAAGCTGAGTCGAGGTGGCTGAGGGACATGCGAGGAAGCCCCGATGCGTTCAGGGGGCAGCAGTTGTGCGGGGGCACTGGCGGTTGGGCGGCGGCGCTGCCAGTCGCGCAGCGGGTGAGCATCCCTCGCCACTGTGTGATGCTGGAAGGGACCAGTAGATGTCTGGAAGGCGCTCGTGAAGGGGGCATGTTTAAATAGCGAGGGACTGGCTGCCCCATTCCTTATCTATACCACGGTTATTTTAGCAAAAGATTTGATGCTGTAGAAAACTTTGATTTTAGGACTTGTAACGTTCCCCGTGGTCGCCCTGTGTGGGTTGGCGCTGTGTGTGCCTGCATGCTCGGTGTGAAAGATGCACGTTTAAAGCTGATAAGAAATCTCACTAACTTTTTTACTTGGCTTCTTCTCTAGAATCCCAACTTTAATCTGAGTGACCGCAAAAATGATCTTCAACCCCGAATCTCATGTAAAGATACTTCTAGCTATTTATTTCTCTTCTGGGTTGTACATATGTCTAAATACGTTGTATGGCTTTTTAAAAATCTTAATTTGATGGGGTAAATTTATCCTTGTGTCCCAAGGAAAAGTAGATCCTAAAGCAGTTCCTGGGCACGTACTGTGTTTTTCTCTCCAAGGTATTTGATAATGCCATAAACAAGTAATTACTAATCCAGTGAACTATTAAAAGTCGATAATGGTGAAAAATAGAGAGAAGACTGGCTTTCTGACAAGCTGGTTTACCTTAATTAAACTAGTGAGTGATTAATATGGACAGCTGATCTTGTGGCTTTAATTAGATGCATTTAGAGTTTTGTGTGAATAAGAGATGTCTCGAGCCATCCCACAGGTTAATGGCAATACAATACTCTTATCAGAGGCATGTATCTTTCAAATGGCTGGGTAGATGGTTAATAACACGTTTTAGAGCTTGATTTGAAACTTCTCTTAATGGGTTATTAGAAAACAGGCAAGTCAATGCCTGTTTTATACAAAACTGAATTTCAATAAAACAGTTTTCAAAAGAGAGACTGTTCAGTGAGTTCATCCCGCAGTTGAGATTTTTACATTGCAAAAAGATTACAGAAAGTTAGATGTAAAAAAAGTTTCAAGATGAGTTAAAAATAACACGAGCTACAGTCTAAATTTTCTCTGGTGTTGCTAGAAATGCAAATAGTGTCATGCCAGTACTGTGTGGGA